AGTTAGTTCTGGCCACATTTGGGTATCTTGGGCCTCTTGGCCCTTGGGATTATTTTATTATTGTATTAACAATTGTGAATAGTTTGTCACATAAGGTTAAGCAAGTGAAAATATTGTTATTTTGACATCAACATCACGCAAGTGTATACTAAACAAACAAACTCTAATTGAATATTTTAAATATATCATTTTATAGGATTTAGAGATTCCAGAAAGTGCCCTTGATCTTGTGCCATCTTCACCAGATAATGTGGACTTAGACAGATTGAAGAAGGATATCCCGAAATTTCTAAACAACTCCAGAGTCATTTCTACTGAACAAAAGGAGTGGTGGGACACCTTCTTTGCAGATGCTTTGGAAACATACCAAGTCTCCCCGGAGAAACATTCCTTGTGGCTGCTAGACGAAGTAAAGATCTTAAAGGCTCGTTCTTCAAACACAATGGCAACACCACATGCTTTGTCATCCTTGACCGTGCTTGTAGCACCCATGTCAGATGCCACAGAAAAGGCAGCTGAGCTTGTCAATGCTCAGTTTAATGAGATTCCAGAGGTATAGTATTAAGGCTATGTACAGTTAAAACACACCAACCTTAGTGAGGGTAGCTGGCCAATGTGCATGCAATCAGAGTTGATGACAATGGAGAGTAGTGTCCAATACACTACAGCAGATCAACTAGGTACTGTAAAGTCTCATATTTACTAATTTCTCAAATTATTTTTAAGGTTTACACTGGCCCTTATGTGAGACCAAAAACAGTCTCAGAAGTTGATAACCTGTGGCAGTTTGTGACAGTTGGGGTATTTGTGGCAGTAAACCTTGAAAATTATGAAAAGGTACCCGTCATTGGCAAAGTTGTTGAAAAAGATGAAGATAATGTCAAGGTGCACTACTGGAAAGTTTCTTGGAACAAGAAATGGACTCCTTGGTTGTACAATAATTTGCCTTGGATTGATGAGCTGCCAAAGGACTGTATATATTTAGCATCATTTGAACTTGATGAAAACGATAAACTGCAGAAGGATACTAAGCGAAGTATTAGAGAATTTTTAAACAAAGACAAAACTAATTGAAAATTTTAAGCTGTAATTAATGGCTTGCAATATTTATATATACAAAATTAATATAATCTTAACATACCAATGTTTTGGTAACTGTACCAGTAACCATAGTCATTCCTTAGGGCACTTGAAACCAGCGAATGCTTTAATATCTCAAGTCCTTGTCTGGTTTCGAGATCTCAAAGCCTTTGCCTGGTTTCGAGATCTCGAAGCCTTTGCCTGGTTTCGAGATCTTGAAGCCTTTGCCTGGTTTCGAGATCTCGAAGCCTTGTCTGGTTTTGAGATCTCGAAGCCTTTGCCTGGTTTCGAGATCTCGAAGCCTTTGCCTGGTTTCGAGATCTCGAAGCCTTGTCTGGTTTTGAGATCTCGAAGCCTTTGCCTGGTTTCGAGATCTCGAAGCCTTTGCCTGGTTTCGAGATCTCGAAGCCTTGCCTGGTTTCGAGATCTCGAAGCCTTGCCTGATTTTGAGATCTTGACTTTTGCAAAATGACCAGTTTTTGGCTATTTATATTCTTCTCATGGCCAGAAAATTCGGACATAGTTAACATTCTACTTCCGCCTAAATTTGCATATGGTGTCAAAATAAAGCTTCGTGAGTTTATAGTAAACTGTAATGTGCACAGTACTAAACGCTAAAAATACACCTTTAGGTAGGTCGATTATAATTTGCCTTAATTGCTCGTTGCAGAGCAAGTTAATCTTAATATTTTTATATAGTATTTCAAAATGTTTTATCAATATTCGTTCTGCATTTTCAAAACAAAGTTTTGGTCATTTATCACGTTGAATACCATATAAAACGAAAACCGTAATAGCGTAGAAATAAAATAAAAATGCAGAGCCGACATAAACCTTTGCCAGCAAAATATTACCTCAAGATCTTCAATATGACACGAGTTAAAAGAAACAACCAGGGCAAATAGCAAAGATGCAATGATTTTCTTAAATTTTGCAAAATTTAAGAATGCGCAATATAATTTATAGTTCTGCAAACGAATAATATTTGAACAGATATGCAAATTTGCTACGGCAATCTGCATATTCCATGTCCGCAATTTCTGGCCATGTCTGTATACATAGATAATAATTTTAAAAAAAAAGATGAATATAGCAATAAACAATATTTTTGTTGCTAATATTTGAATATTTACTTGATATCAGCCAAACCTCTTTCTTTTCTTGCAGATTTTTTGCAAAAATGGCTTTTTTAGGATGTTAAATGCTGTTGCAAACCGTTTCTTGAGAAATACTCATTTATTTGGCAGAAAATGAGCCAATTTTAAGTAAACAGAATATCACACTTTACTCTAGAACGTGTTCTACTAGCCTTTACAGTTGATTTCACAAAACTTTGGCCGCTCCAGTTGCGAACTATGTTCTGAAACTGTCAAGTGGGCGGGGAAGTTGTCAATTCCGTTTTGTAATTCGCAACGAAGTTCCGAAGTTCAAATCGAACTTCGGAATTTCAAATCGAACTTTGCAGGCAATTTGTCTCAGTCTTTATAAAATTGCTACTAGAAAATACCAGGGCAAAGCAATTACAATATATTTCTTTACTGCATTGAAATTGCTTTGCCCTGGTATTTTATAGTGGCCATTTTATAGCGATTTAGTCAAATTGCCGCAAAGTTCGATTTGAATTTCATTGCGAATTACAAAACGGAATTGTCAACTTCCCCGCCCACTTGACAGTTTCAAAACATAGTTCGCAACTGGAGCGGCCAAAGTTTTATGAAATCAACTGTAATACGACTTGTTTGCTTTCCCGTTCCATGGCTTATTCTTGATTAATGCATGCTATAACTGAAAGTCTTCCAAATATTTAGAACAAATTTGAATAACTTCACAAATAACCTCACGAATAACCCTCTGCTTTGTGTGGAGACGGAAGGAGCAAGATCACAAAAAGAAAAGCGTGGGTATTAGTCATAGTATTATTTTGTTAGAAAACAACTCATTTAAAAGCAGCCGAATTAATAAGCTGAAAGGCTATTGTTTGTAAAAAAGTATTTAATAATAATAATGAAATATCACATTTTTAGGGCGATTTCCCGATTCCCCAATTCCCCGATTCCCCGATTCCCCGATTCCCCGATTCCCCCATTCCCCGATTTCCCGATCCCTCCATTCCCCGATTCCCCCATTCCCCCATTCCCCGATTCCCTGATTCCCCGATTCCCCCTTTTTACAAAGTGTGTTCAATGGTTTTATTTCTATTTACGCGAAGTAGGAGATCTTTTACACTGGGTTAACTAATGTTCATTAATGTTTAGTTTTTGGCTTCACTCTTCTCTTCTCTTCGGATTCTTCGTCCTTTCGGAACCTCGTTGTTTTCTGTTGTTGTCTTTGGTACGTTTTATATGCTTTTTACTTCGCTAGTCCACTGAAGTTGGGGTGTTTTGCACGCCCTTTTATAGTAACGGTTTAGGGAAACTTGCCTTTCTCTCAGTTATAACTGAGAGCGTCAGAATTAAATCAGTTTATATACTGACCCAAATAGAAACATGCATGCGCTATTCTACGGCAACATGTTTAATCAGCATGCTAAGTGTTCTTAGGGAACTTTATTTGAACAGCTATACTCTCGTGTTTAATAATTATCGAACATAAACAAACAAATGACAAACATATACGTGTAACATGAGAATAACAAAAACTATATTATACAAATCTTAAAATGCGTCCAGTTTCATGTCCATAACACAAGCGTTCTGACCATCAGGAAGGATCCGGAGAACTCTGAGACTTTCGTACGTCTCAATAATCGTATTTAAACGACCACGGAGGCTTCCACTGGTACCTCTTTGGCTGGACATTTGACGTAGCCATCGCATTAGGATAGAGGGAGTACATGTCGCCAAACTCGTCTTGGACTGCAGACTGAGAACAAAACGACGGTAGTTTCAATTCTAGTTCATGGGAAGTGTAGAGTTTGTGGACAGTTGTCTTGAAGAGTCAACCAAAAATGAAACAAAGTTTAGCATTGCCATAAGTAGAAGTATTGATGAATACAGAGCGTGCGTTTCCTTCGAACCAGTCAGCAGGTCGCTACAGAACCCGTTTCTAAGCAATGTTTGCAATATTTATTGTTCTGACTTCTTCTGAGTATATACTAATGGTGGACTGATTGAGTTTCCGAAACGTTTTGTAAGGCCAAATTCTGCACCAAATGTTAAATGGTTTTATTTCTATTTACGCGAGGTAGGAGATCCTTCACAATGGGTTAACTAATGATCATTAATGTTTAGTTTCCGGCTTCATTCTTCTCTTCTCTTCGGATTCTTCGTCCTTTCGCAACCACGTTGTTTTCTATTCTTGTCTTTGGTCGTGGGTTCTGTAAAGGTTGAGCTTCTCTAACGTTTCATATGCTTTTTACTCCGCTAGTCGACTGAAGGTTGTGGTGTTTTGCACGCCTTTTTATAGTAACGGTTTAGGGAAACTTGCCGACGTCATCAACCAGAGTGGGCTGATCCTTATCCAACCAATCAGCGTTGTTAGTTAGAAATGTGGGCTCGTTCCAGCTCTCATATCTTGTTTGTATAAGGCGTTGACGCACTAGTCGAGTTGGTCTTTAGCTCAATCGATCAATACTTAAAAATGTTCACAACTTAAAATATTTATCATCAACAACTAGTAAAATTTTCAAATAATATCTCCGTGAACAATATCCTTCAACTTAAACTATTTTTACTCTTATTTTTATCGAATTAATTCATTTCCTCTGGAAACCATCTGCTAAAAGATAGTTAAAAGTGGATAGCAATCTGATGAATAATAGCTGTGCTGGATTAAACAATCACTTAATGGTTTCCGTGTTCGGTTGGCCTGATCCAAACAAGCGGGAATGTTGCGAGAGTGAAGAAAAGAGCGCTGAAATAAAATCCTGACTTTTTGTGCAATAATGTATTAATATGATTATTATCTCTTTAGATGCTCACCTTCTGAGTTGCATTAATTTTGTATGAAGTGAGGTTTTCTTTATCCACACCGTAAGAGATCGAATACGTCTTCACCCAATAACGATTAGAACCAAAACCTTGAGTGGCAATCGCTGTAACAAGTTTTTTTTTGCCAAGATCGACTTGGAGCCATTGGTTCTGATCGTCATCGTCAGGACGCCAAGAAGCTGCACCGTTTAATCTCCCTTTTGATGCGGAAAATCCATTTTTTTCAGTTGATGATGACATCTGAGAATTCTTTATTCTTCCATCCTCCGCTCCAAGTGGAACCTTGCTGGTATTGCAAGAACCTTGTCGTAAGATATGCAAAAAAAGTATGTACATGATCTAAGAGATTCACTTCTTCCATGGTTGCGTGCATTGACCACTTGAAGAGGCAAAGTGAATTAATGTTGCATATCAACTTTTGCCACATTTGAGAAAGGGAACTGGGTTCAGATGTAAAAAAATCGAGTCAGGGCCAATTATATAATGTGTTAAATCGGAATTAGAAGTAGAATATTTTTCACACAATGTTACGTCGTTAAATGGATTTTTAAACGTATGGCTAATACACCGAAGTCCAAAGCCATAATTAAATTGCACAATAATTTAATGCTAATAACTTAATACTACATCATTCCCCCCCCCCGTCCGTTTCAGCCAAAAACCTCAATATCTATTGTTATATATTGCCTTGATGTTCGAGTGTACGCAGGCATTTTCTCGGTGTTAATGCATTGAAATTCTAGCCACATAATTATGATATCAAATGACAATAATTCACTTCACCCGACCCTTCACCCACAATCCAACGATATGTTGAAGTTAATTTTGGATATGCGCGTTGAAGGTTAACGATGGACTTGAAACAAGTCAAAGTTGAGTATTATTTACCTGTGTAGCAACCAATAACTTCGATTCTCAAGGATATGTGATCAAACCAAGACACTGGGTGTATGCGAATATAACGCGCATTTATTGTTGGATATAAGAGATTTGTCACGACAGAATTCTTGTCATCATTTCCAGCGAATACCTTTATAATTTATAAAAGATGGATGAAAGAAAAACGTTTGCATTAGACTACTTTTGATTTGTGAAAAGAAATAAAATATATCACCACAGATATGAATAAATATACTACACCGGACAATTTCGCAAAATATAATAAAACATACCCGAAGGTATTTTGACTCAGAGATTCAAAGAAATTTAGAGGGACCTTGTGTAGCAATTAGCTTTCTTTCCCCCCAAAAAATCCTGAAGAAGTCATTGGCCCTGATTGGTTTTACGATAATTATGTAATAATATGATTATTATCTCTTAACTTCTCACCTTCTGAGTTGCATTAATTTTGTATGAAGTGAGGTTTTCTTTATCGACACCGTAAGATATCGAATAAGTCTTCACTCAATAATGATTAGAACCAGAACCTTGAGTAGCAATCGCTGTAACAAGTTCCTCTTTGCCAAGATCGACTTGGAGCCATTGGTTCTGATCATTATTTGTCGGACATCAAGAGTCTGCACCGTTTAATCTCCCTTTTGATGCAGAAAATTCGTTTTCTGCGGTTGATGATGCAAACTGAGAATACGTTATTTTTCCATCCTCTACTCCAAGTGGAACCTCACTGGTTTTGCAAAAACCTTGTTGTAAGAAATGCAAAACAGTAAGTAGGTATGTAAGACAATGACCTGAAGTATTTTGCCCCTGTTCTTCCAACTAACAGTGTAAAAGGGGAAAAATTTAAATTCTAATTTCAAGTTAAATGAAAAACAAATGTGTTTCCACATAGAAATAATAGAGTTACTTAACATTTTCCAGTGCTAAAATCATATCAAATGAAGGGTATAATAATTCAGTTTTTTCGAGGACCTGGCTTTCGATTGGCCGACTCTAATTTAATGCTAATAACTTAATACTACATCATTTTGCCCCCGCGTCCGTTCCAGCTAAAAATCCTCAATATTCATTGTTATATATTGCCTTGATGCTCGAGTGTACGCAAGCATTTGCTCGGTGTTAACGCATAGAAATTCTAGCGACATAATTATGATCTCAAAAGATAATAATTCACGGGTCCCGACCCTTCACCCACAATCCAACGCTATGTTGAAGTTAATTTTGCATATGCGAGTAGAACGTAAACGAGGGACTGGAAACAAGTCAGACATTCTCAATGCTGAGTATTGTTTACCTGTGTAGCAACCAATAACTTCGATTCTCAAGGATATGTGATTAAACCAAGACACTGGGTATATGCGAATATAACGCGCATTTATTGCTGGATATAAACGATTTTTCACGACAGAATCCTGGTCATAATTTCCAGCAAATACCTTTACAAATTATAAATGATTGGTAAAATTGACTTTTTACATTATATTTATGGGTTACTTTTGAATAAGACCAGTGATTAAGACACATTCTAGAGCGAAAATGGTAACAACCTCGAGAGTGTTTAAAACTTTTATAATAATTACATTAATATGATTATTATCTCTTTAGATGCTCACCTTCTGAGTTGCATTAATTTTGTATGAAGTGAGGTTTTCTTTATCCACACCGTAAGAGATCGAAAAAGTCTTCACCCAACTATTACTAGAACCTTGAGTGGCAATCGCTGTAACAAGTTTGTTTTTGCCAAGATCGACTTGGAGCCATTGGTTCTGATTGTCATCGTCGCGACGCCAAGAAGCTGCACCGTTTAATCTTCCTTTTGATGCGGAAAATCGATTTTTTTCATGTGACGATGACATCTGAGAATCCTTTACCCTTCCATCTTTTACTCCAAATGGCACTTCACTGGTGTTGCAGGAACCTTGTCATGGAAATGCGAAAAAGCAAGGTACGTACAACATAAAATCTAACAGAATCACTTCTCCAATAATTTCGTACATTTGTTGAAAAATGAAATGCAAAACTTGGAGCACTTTTATTTTGGGAACCACAAATAAAGTGGTCGACGTCTGTGTTAAAAAGATCTTTGCATGCATATGTAAAAAGGAAAAACCAAAAAAAAATATTTAAGCTGATCTTCTACGAAACGATCCTTGTTTTGACAACGTTCGTCGACGTTTGTGTTATAAAAATATCACTTTCACTATAGATGGATGGACGGATGGATGGATGGATGGATGGATGGATGGATGGATGGATGGATGGATGGATGGATGGATGGATGGATGGATGGATGGATGGATGGATGGATGGATGGATGGATGGATGGATGGATGGATGGATGGATGGATGGATGGATGGATGGATGGATGGATGGATGGATGGATGGATGGATGGATGGATGGATGGATGGATGGATGGATGGATGGATGGATGGATGTGTTTTGCACGCCCTTTTATAGTAACGGTTTAGGGAAACTTGCCTTTCTCTCAGTTATAACTGAGAGCGTCAGAATTAAATCAGTTTATATACTGACCCAAATAGAAACATGCATGCGCTATTCTACGGCAACATGTTTAATCAGCATGCTAAGTGTTCTTAGGGAACTTTATTTGAACAGCTATACTCTCGTGTTTAATAATTATCGAACATAAACAAACAAATGACAAACATATACGTGTAACATGAGAATAACAAAAACTATATTATACAAATCTTAAAATGCGTCCAGTTTCATGTCCATAACACAAGCGTTCTGACCATCAGGAAGGATCCGGAGAACTCTGAGACTTTCGTACGTCTCAATAATCGTATTTAAACGACCACGGAGGCTTCCACTGGTACCTCTTTGGCTGGACATTTGACGTAGCCATCGCATTAGGATAGAGGGAGTACATGTCGCCAAACTCGTCTTGGACTGCAGACTGAGAACAAAACGACGGTAGTTTCAATTCTAGTTCATGGGAAGTGTAGAGTTTGTGGACAGTTGTCTTGAAGAGTCAACCAAAAATGAAACAAAGTTTAGCATTGCCATAAGTAGAAGTATTGATGAATACAGAGCGTGCGTTTCCTTCGAACCAGTCAGCAGGTCGCTACAGAACCCGTTTCTAAGCAATGTTTGCAATATTTATTGTTCTGACTTCTTCTGAGTATATACTAATGGTGGACTGATTGAGTTTCCGAAACGTTTTGTAAGGCCAAATTCTGCACCAAATGTTAAATGGTTTTATTTCTATTTACGCGAGGTAGGAGATCCTTCACAATGGGTTAACTAATGATCATTAATGTTTAGTTTCCGGCTTCATTCTTCTCTTCTCTTCGGATTCTTCGTCCTTTCGCAACCACGTTGTTTTCTATTCTTGTCTTTGGTCGTGGGTTCTGTAAAGGTTGAGCTTCTCTAACGTTTCATATGCTTTTTACTCCGCTAGTCGACTGAAGGTTGTGGTGTTTTGCACGCCTTTTTATAGTAACGGTTTAGGGAAACTTGCCGACGTCATCAACCAGAGTGGGCTGATCCTTATCCAACCAATCAGCGTTGTTAGTTAGAAATGTGGGCTCGTTCCAGCTCTCATATCTTGTTTGTATAAGGCGTTGACGCACTAGTCGAGTTGGTCTTTAGCTCAATCGATCAATACTTAAAAATGTTCACAACTTAAAATATTTATCATCAACAACTAGTAAAATTTTCAAATAATATCTCCGTGAACAATATCCTTCAACTTAAACTATTTTTACTCTTATTTTTATCGAATTAATTCATTTCCTCTGGAAACCATCTGCTAAAAGATAGTTAAAAGTGGATAGCAATCTGATGAATAATAGCTGTGCTGGATTAAACAATCACTTAATGGTTTCCGTGTTCGGTTGGCCTGATCCAAACAAGCGGGAATGTTGCGAGAGTGAAGAAAAGAGCGCTGAAATAAAATCCTGACTTTTTGTGCAATAATGTATTAATATGATTATTATCTCTTTAGATGCTCACCTTCTGAGTTGCATTAATTTTGTATGAAGTGAGGTTTTCTTTATCCACACCGTAAGAGATCGAATACGTCTTCACCCAATAACGATTAGAACCAAAACCTTGAGTGGCAATCGCTGTAACAAGTTTTTTTTTGCCAAGATCGACTTGGAGCCATTGGTTCTGATCGTCATCGTCAGGACGCCAAGAAGCTGCACCGTTTAATCTCCCTTTTGATGCGGAAAATCCATTTTTTTCAGTTGATGATGACATCTGAGAATTCTTTATTCTTCCATCCTCCGCTCCAAGTGGAACCTTGCTGGTATTGCAAGAACCTTGTCGTAAGATATGCAAAAAAAGTATGTACATGATCTAAGAGATTCACTTCTTCCATGGTTGCGTGCATTGACCACTTGAAGAGGCAAAGTGAATTAATGTTGCATATCAACTTTTGCCACATTTGAGAAAGGGAACTGGGTTCAGATGTAAAAAATCGAGTCAGGGCCAATTATATAATGTGTTAAATCGGAATTAGAAGTAGAATATTTTTCACACAATGTTACGTCGTTAAATGGATTTTTAAACGTATGGCTAATACACCGAAGTCCAAAGCCATAATTAAATTGCACAATAATTTAATGCTAATAACTTAATACTACATCATTCCCCCCCCCCGTCCGTTTCAGCCAAAAACCTCAATATCTATTGTTATATATTGCCTTGATGTTCGAGTGTACGCAGGCATTTTCTCGGTGTTAATGCATTGAAATTCTAGCCACATAATTATGATATCAAATGACAATAATTCACTTCACCCGACCCTTCACCCACAATCCAACGATATGTTGAAGTTAATTTTGGATATGCGCGTTGAAGGTTAACGATGGACTTGAAACAAGTCAAAGTTGAGTATTATTTACCTGTGTAGCAACCAATAACTTCGATTCTCAAGGATATGTGATCAAACCAAGACACTGGGTGTATGCGAATATAACGCGCATTTATTGTTGGATATAAGAGATTTGTCACGACAGAATTCTTGTCATCATTTCCAGCGAATACCTTTATAATTTATAAAAGATGGATGAAAGAAAAACGTTTGCATTAGACTACTTTTGATTTGTGAAAAGAAATAAAAATATATCACCACAGATATGAATAAATATACTACACCGGACAATTTCGCAAAATATAATAAAACATACCCGAAGGTATTTTGACTCAGAGATTCAAAGAAATTTAGAGGGACCTTGTGTAGCAATTAGCTTTCTTTCCCCCCAAAAAATCCTGAAGAAGTCATTGGCCCTGATTGGTTTTACGATAATTATGTAATAATATGATTATTATCTCTTAACTTCTCACCTTCTGAGTTGCATTAATTTTGTATGAAGTGAGGTTTTCTTTATCGACACCGTAAGATATCGAATAAGTCTTCACTCAATAATGATTAGAACCAGAACCTTGAGTAGCAATCGCTGTAACAAGTTCCTCTTTGCCAAGATCGACTTGGAGCCATTGGTTCTGATCATTATTTGTCGGACATCAAGAGTCTGCACCGTTTAATCTCCCTTTTGATGCAGAAAATTCGTTTTCTGCGGTTGATGATGCAAACTGAGAATACGTTATTTTTCCATCCTCTACTCCAAGTGGAACCTCACTGGTTTTGCAAAAACCTTGTTGTAAGAAATGCAAAACAGTAAGTAGGTATGTAAGACAATGACCTGAAGTATTTTGCCCCTGTTCTTCCAACTAACAGTGTAAAAGGGGAAAAATTTAAATTCTAATTTCAAGTTAAATGAAAAACAAATGTGTTTCCACATAGAAATAATAGAGTTACTTAACATTTTCCAGTGCTAAAATCATATCAAATGAAGGGTATAATAATTCAGTTTTTTCGAGGACCTGGCTTTCGATTGGCCGACTCTAATTTAATGCTAATAACTTAATACTACATCATTTTGCCCCCGCGTCCGTTCCAGCTAAAAATCCTCAATATTCATTGTTATATATTGCCTTGATGCTCGAGTGTACGCAAGCATTTGCTCGGTGTTAACGCATAGAAATTCTAGCGACATAATTATGATCTCAAAAGATAATAATTCACGGGTCCCGACCCTTCACCCACAATCCAACGCTATGTTGAAGTTAATTTTGCATATGCGAGTAGAACGTAAACGAGGGACTGGAAACAAGTCAGACATTCTCAATGCTGAGTATTGTTTACCTGTGTAGCAACCAATAACTTCGATTCTCAAGGATATGTGATTAAACCAAGACACTGGGTATATGCGAATATAACGCGCATTTATTGCTGGATATAAACGATTTTTCACGACAGAATCCTGGTCATAATTTCCAGCAAATACCTTTACAAATTATAAATGATTGGTAAAATTGACTTTTTACATTATATTTATGGGTTACTTTTGAATAAGACCAGTGATTAAGACACATTCTAGGCGAAAATGGTAACAACCTCTGGAGAGTGTTTAAAACTTTTATAATAATTACATTAATATGATTATTATCTCTTTAGATGCTCACCTTCTGAGTTGCATTAATTTTGTATGAAGTGAGGTTTTCTTTATCCACACCGTAAGAGATCGAAAAAGTCTTCACCCAACTATTACTAGAACCTTGAGTGGCAATCGCTGTAACAAGTTTGTTTTTGCCAAGATCGACTTGGAGCCATTGGTTCTGATTGTCATCGTCGCGACGCCAAGAAGCTGCACCGTTTAATCTTCCTTTTGATGCGGAAAATCGATTTTTTTCATGTGACGATGACATCTGAGAATCCTTTACCCTTCCATCTTTTACTCCAAATGGCACTTCACTGGTGTTGCAGGAACCTTGTCATGGAAATGCGAAAAAGCAAGGTACGTACAACATAAAATCTAACAGAATCACTTCTCCAATAATTTCGTACATTTGTTGAAAAATGAAATGCAAAACTTGGAGCACTTTTATTTTGGGAACCACAAATAAAGTGGTCGACGTCTGTGTTAAAAAGATCTTTGCATGCATATGTAAAAAGGAAAAACCAAAAAAAAAATATTTAAGCTGATCTTCTACGAAACGATCCTTGTTTTGACAACGTTCGTCGACGTTTGTGTTATAAAAATATCACTTTCACTATAGATGGATGGACGGATGGATGGATGGATGGATGGATGGATGGATGGATGGATGGATGGATGGATGGATGGATGGATGGATGGATGGATGGATGGATGGATGGATGGATGGATGGATGGATGGATGGATGGATGGATGGATGGATGGATGGATGGATGGATGGATGGATGGATGGATGGATGGATGGATGGATGGATGGATGGATGGATGGATGGATGGATGGATGGATGGATGGATGGATGGATGGATGGATGGATGGATGGATGGATGGATTGATGGATGGATGGATGGATGGATGGATGGATGGATGGATGGATGGATGGATGGATGGATGGATGGATGGATGGATGGATGGATGGATGGATGGATGGATGGATGGATGGATGGATGGATGGATGGATGGATGGATGGATGGATGGATGGATGGATGGATGGATGGATGGATGGATGGATGGATGGATGGATGGATGGATGGATGGATGGATGGATGGATGGATGGATGGATGGATGGATGGATGGATGGGTGGATGGATGGGATGGATGGATGGATGGATGGATGGATGGATGGATGGATGGATGGATGGATGGATGGATGGATGGATGGATGGATGGATGGATGGATGGATGGATCACGATGGATGGATCAGGATCGATGGATGGTTGGATGGATGGATCAGAATGGATGGATCAGGATGGATGGATCAAGATGGATGGATCAGGATGGATGGATCAGGATGGATGGATCAGGATGGATGGATCAGGATGGATGGATCAGGATGGATGGATCAGGATGGATGGATCAGGATGGATGGATCAGGATGGATGGATCGGGATGGATGGATCAGGATTGATGGATCAGGATGGATGGATCAGGATGGATGGATCAGGATCGATGGATCAGGATGGATGGATCAGGATGGATGGATCAGGATGGATGGATCAGGATGGATGGATCAGGATGGATGGATCGGGATGATACACAAAACTAAATGCAAACTTTTATTTCTCAGACAAAACTCTAACCCATACCGATGTTTACAAAGATAGCTTGATTTTCGCACTAATTTGTCTCGCGTTGACGTTCAAATAAAACAAAGTTTGTAAGTTCAGAAAATATAAAGACGCTTTTAAACCACTGACCTACACAAGATGGACTAAGCGCTCGAGGCCTAAATGTGTCCCCACGGTTGCTCACGTCATATAGGTCCTCGCATCGATGAAAATTAGCGCAGACTGATATTTGTTTTGGTTTGTGGGCGGGTTCACATTTTATAAAAAAGTTTTTAGTGAGTATCCAGTGCAAATTTGTGGTGAAACACTGGAAAACAATTAACAAAGAACACTCGCGCTAACATTTTCTCGTGATTTGATATCCTGGTGAAAAACTTGCTTTCGTAGTCGATATATTGCTTCCAACGTGCTGTTTAATAATATCCACTATGCTGACATCATGTATGATACACCATCAATACTATATTTTAAATATTCTGTAGACGTGTCATTTTCACAATTTTTCATATTGTGCTGACCCAAAGTTACAGCTGATATACACGTCGTACCTGGTTTGAACACGATCTGTTGGCTTCTAAAAAATGGGAAAAACATGAATTTAAGTAAGGGAGCTCCCTTATGGTGGCAAACATCAATAAAAGTATAGTTTATTTGTAAAATATCATTCGCACAGCCGCATAACCCAGACGATTTAAGTAAAATATATTACGTTGCATTCAGTTATTGTATTGAGGTGCTTTGTTTTTCAGCCCGCGCGGGTGAAGCGGACGGTAATGGGGATCGCCTTTAACTACACCAACACTCTTTATTTAGAAAAAATAATGAAAAGTAAATCCAGCATAAGTTTGCATATTTTGAAGGATTTTTTTAATATAAATATTTTTTATATAAGTAAGTGCGTTTTCATTTTTTTCCAAAAATATACGCACGTAAAAATTAGGTAGTTTTTGGGACCCTGTAATTTGAAATCAAGGCCATAAATTTTCTTTGACCGCTTACAAATAGCATCTTATATTACAAAATAATGCATTAGGAGTAACTGCAACTTGTAACTACATGCAGAAAATAGTGTGTCAGCCCAACAGTAAGAACCTTTTTCAGTCCTAACCACAAAAGGATCGCCAAGTATGGACCATTAATTTGTACCCTGTAACTACAATTTTGATAAATTAAGAAACTTTGTCTTACATAGTGTAAAAAAAATAATACACGTATAGTATACATCTATTACCTTTTCCAGCGCAAGTAAAGCGAAGAATCGCCAATAACTGCATGCGTCGTGTTTTGATGTTAAAATGTCACTATTTTGTTCTCGAATATGTACCTAGTTGGCACCCTATAAAAATCACTTCTACCCAGTTTCAGAGGGTCATTTTTATATATTTGAGACAATAAATCAACTAACTGTGCACTTATTGTATTTTCCAGCATCGTCTTACATTAAAAAAGTTAAATCATCTTAAAAAGCTGCGTGCGTTGCATTTTTTGCTAAACCTAGTGTCGCCATTGTTGTTCTCGAGATATGTGCCTTTTAAATTTACTTTAGCCAGCAAGTTTTAGAGCCCCATTTGAAGATAGCTTAAAAAAACAATAAACTGTTAACTTATCGCACTTACTTAATGCCATACACGGCTTTTCATTGGACGTAGGATATTCTTCACATATTATGAAAAATTGTCGGATGTCATTTTGGCGGCGATTTGTTTACATTTTCTTTCAAGATAGCGTCGAAACATAGGCGTGAGATTAAAAACATAATTCTCATGCATATTCAAGATATTTTTACATTCAGCACACTCTGAAATCCTTCTATGAATAACTTCTATCGAGCAAAATTACAAAGAAACTGAACGGTAATAAGTATGTTTTGATGCATAAAATTATGGTTTTGTTTATTAAAAGCGTGTCGTTGTCAAATTGATCTCTATACACATTTAATAAAAAATCACTTCATGGTTGGCTGGTTTGTACAATTTTAATATGAAATCGTTGTGAAGGATCGCAAACTCACTCGTTCGCTACGCTCACTCATTCGTTTTGCAATCCTTCACAACTCGATCGATGCTAAACGAGACAGGACGCATATTTTGCGCGATCAAAATTAAACGTCTGTACTCTGTACACATATTCTGTGAATTCGATCAAAACTAAAAGACTGCATGCGCGCAAATTTTGTGTACTCGAGCTAGTTATTACATTTTAGAATTTAATAATATATTATGTTGCTAAAATTCCGCTTTGAAAGATAGCCTCGTTTTAACTTAAGCTAAGATATTTTTGTAGTTCATGCATGACAATCTTCTGCTTTTATTTATAAACTTTCTCCGCTAAAAGTAGCTCTTTTAGCTCGAGTAAACGCTTAGCAACCGTCTTGTATTATTTTAAACTGGCGAGAAGTGACTGCATGCATGTAGATTGCTTATCTACAAACGTGTAGCACAGGTGAAAAAGCGCTTTAAATAGAGTGTTGATTGAAAAATAATGCAGTGAAATTTACTAAGAATATGATAATCTCTTCATGTCTGGATTCCCAACACTTTATTATTATAACGTCATCCTGCTAACCCTGCTGTATATAACGATGACACAGCACCCTTGCATGTGTAGCTAATTACATGCATTTTAGTTATGTTTTCTCTGAAATATATTACTTATGTGTTGCAACAGTTTAAGAAAATATTAAGTAACACACTCATTTCGAACCGAAACTGCAGAATATATTCCTCAATTTGCAAATAAAATAATTATTTTATTTTTCTAGTCTTAATCAGGACAATATTTTACGTGTTATATACATTTATGTCTCTCGTTTAATCAACCCGAATATAAGAAGTCAAAAATTAGGTCAAATTTTATACAATTGCATCGCTCGTATATTAAATCATATACAAATTACCCGCTATTCTAAAAAGGTCCTTCATCTAACAATAAATTTCTCTGATAAATCATGCATATAATACTGCAACAGCATGCTTAAATAGCAGTCGCAAATACAGTTTTCTTACCTTTCCAACTTTGTAAAAATGGTTGAATTCTGGGTTATACAAGCTTTCCTCAGCGTAAGATATCTCTCGAAGTGAATTGCTGTTGATCTCACACAGACCTTTCCCAGGTTCAGAGATTTTAAAATTGACTGAAGCACATGAATCATTTCCGACGCAAAACATATAACATTCAAACTCTGTATCTGCATGTTTTGTATCAATAACATGATTCGCTAGATATCTTTGTTGATGTTTTCGGAAAAAAGCCTGATGAATGATTTGACATTCGCCTAATTGGAGTATTTTTGAGATTAAAATGAACGCATTAATGCTCTGTAAGACAGCCATTGTGAAAATGAGGTTCAGCTTTTTCAGGTGCAGTCTTAAGTTATTAATAACGATATTAAACAATTAATAGTGACAACTGACAAGCTCGAGTGAATTTAAGTAAACGGACTTTTAATCCTCATTAGGTTATTCTGTAGACACAACGACACACCTGTGTAGTTAAATGGTTTTACTTTGCAATTAACTTTCGGAATATCTTATGTACTGTATTTACTTACGTACCTGCATTTAGAACCTACTCTCAAAAAAATATCTATATTATGTTTTATTATATCCTCTTTTTACTTATGTATGATAATAGGATTTTCCTCCTTTTTTCCTATACGTTTCCTTTTTTACATTTTTGACATTATTCATGTCTCTCCTTTTATCTCTTATGTATTCTTTTATAGTCCATACAATCTCAACATTAACTCGGTCTCTGAAAGCGTGAAATTTCATGTAGTTTAACGCAAAATGTTTTCAAGATTTGATGTACTATAATGCAAAAAAAAAGCTTGTTTCCTTGACAGATGTTTAATAAGGAACCGATGCGCATCTAATTGACACGCTCAAGTAGATCTACTAGTTAAACATCAATGAACTTAGTCCATTCCATTTTAAGACATCATACTGACACAGATAAATAAACATGCAATTCTACACTGGTCTAATTGTGTTGTAGGTTTAAATTTTCAAATTTAAAATCTGGTATATAACAATATGCGCGCGTTGAAAAAACATTTAAATGCACCCTGTAAATGCATCAACTTAGGTGTATAAGACGAGCAATTGCCTCCGCCCACTCATTCAAAGCAGGTGCGTTCAAGTGAATATAGCTCTGGAAAAATCGGGCAATATACCGGTATAGAATAACGAGTTTTTCTTAAATCCCAAATAAAATCATCACAAAACATTTGTCAGAAGTAAAAAAATACAGGCAGGTCTTTTATGCCCCCTCACATGCAAAAGTTTTGGCACGATCCTAAATGTACGAAATTCCTGCATGGTTTACTTGTCCGTGATACATATGAAATAGCCAGAGACGTGTTTTATAATGGGAGACATGTACGCAAATGCTCCAAAGCAGAAGTCACACTACAGAGTATGGCCGGGCCAAGCGTAAACTTTTACCCATGCACTCACATACGTTGAGATTATTTAGATGTAAATTATTTTAAATATAAAGATTACATATATACACACTCATCTAAAACTGAAACTGCCGAATATAGTCATCAATTTGCAAATAAAACAATTCTTATTTTTCTGTAGTCGTCATCAAGACGTTACTTTACGTCTTACACGTGTCTCTCGTCCAATCAAGCCGGATAAAACTAGTCAAAAATTAGGTCAAATGTTATACAATTTTAAGCATCGCAATTATATCACTATACAAATTACCCGCTATTCTAACAAGGTCCTTCATGTAACAATTAATTTCTCTGATAAACCATGCATATGGGCGCATCCATGCATTCCCTTAGAGTAGGATACTACAACAGTATGCTTATATAGCGGTGGCAAATACAGTTTTCTTACCTTTTCAACTTTGTGAAAATGGTTGAATTCTGGGTTATACATGCTTTCATCAGCATAAGATATCCCTCGAAGTGTCTTGCTGTTGATCTCACACAGACCTTTCCCGGGTCCA